CATAGAATTTTAGGATTACAAGGGACCCCAAGGGTCATCTAGTTTAGTGTTTCTCAATGATTGGTCTGTGGACTGGTGCCTCTCCATGAGATCTCCCTGACATAATTTAGGAAGGCAGCAAGCTGGTCCCTGGTATCAAAAAGGCTGAGAAACACTGATATATAGTCTAACCCCATACCATGAAAATCCTATATTAGCAGAAGCTCTTGGAATTTTGAGGATATTTTTTCCTCATTTCTTGGTGCCAACTGGTGGATTTAAAAAAAATTTAAACCTGGAATAAATGTATCTCCAGATTATAACTATTTGAAGGCAGGTCAGATTTTGGGATTAAGCAGGCTGAACAATTGCTCTTTAATTGTGATAATAATACTTTATTATAAATACATGAATGAGCAAAGCCTCACAATATGCTGGAGAAGCAAGCAAACATTATTTCCACTAATTATATATGAAGAAATTGAGGCACAAAGAGGTTAAGTGAATTGCTTAAGGTCACATTTTGAGTCAGTGACAGAGCTGGAATTAGAATTCAGTAGCTCGTGGTTCCCAGCCCAGTGCTAAGTTCAAGGACTTTGCTCATCTCTCATCATGTAGTTTTCTGAAGTATTTCAAGGAATTAATATTAGGTATACATTTCAATACTGGTAAAAACTTTTGGAAAAAAATGTACACTGGCTGATAACAAATGGTTTATAATGAAAGATCCCTAAAATACGGAATGATGAGCTCCAATCTGGATATATTATATTCATATATGAATAATATGGGCTAATTTCTATACTATTTTAACATTAGAGACCGAAAAAGAGAAACTTAGATTTGAAAAAGTGTTAGATACTCCATATTCCACAATTTTCATCAGCTATTTCAAGATTGTTTTGGAGAATGCCACCATAGAAATTTTCTGTGGATTGCTATGAACTACTGGCTTTCTCTGAGTTTTAATGCTATAATGAACTGTATTGCCTGAACTAATATTACTGTTTATATTGCTAAGGTTACAAAGTCTATCAAATTAGCAAAAAATGCTATTTCAAAAAATGCAAGAGCTAATCAGGTAGTGAAGATCTAACTAATAGCTAGTCCATTAATTTCCACTGGAGAGCAAAGGAGGCTCATACTGTATTTTCATTTGGCCTGGTCCTGAACAATTACTGTACTTAAGACTTTTGTGTTGCACTGCGTATTTAGATACATCAGATCAGCAGGGTTGTATAGATGTAGGTCTAGTTATGACAAGAAGTAGATCCAAGCTACAAGGTGTGCACTCAGACTGGAACTTTCCCAATATTTAGAGTTGTACAGATGTAGGTTTTTAGCTCAGACCACTGTAAAGTAGGGGTCAGAGTCACAAACTTAGGACCCAGACCTGAATTCTCCAAAAAATTGAGGGGAGGTGTTCATTTCAAAGTCTTTGGGTCAGGCCTGTCTCATAAAATATCAGCCATTTCTAGGTGTCAGTGGTTCCCAAACTTGTTCCGCCGCTTGTGCAGGGAAAGCCCCTGGTGGGCCGGGCTGCTTTGTTTACCTGCCACGTCCGCAGGTTCGGCCGATCGCGGCTCCCAGTGACCGCGGTTCGCTGCTCCAGGCCAATGGGAGCTGCTGGAAATGGCACGGGCCGAGGGACGTACTGGCCGCTGCTTATATTAGAGATGGAAATTTTCCCGGCATCCCCACTGCAAATAAATTGTGGAAAATCAGAGGTTGTGGGCATAAAAATACTTCACTGGACTTACATTTTATGTAAAAGGAAAGAAGAGAGCATATATCAGGAAACGAGATGCGGATTAAAAGTTCAGATGAAAGAAGGATCAAGGGCATCCACAGGAAAATAAAAATCCAATTAGTGGATTAAAGGTAAAAGGCCAAGGTATAAATAAAACGGTTTTAAGAAAGGATAGTGAAAGGATCAGAGCAGGACGAGGTCAGGAGCTAATACTATGTAATTGGGAAGGGAGGTTACAAAAGGAGTATATAAAAGAATGAAGTGAAATGAGAGATAAATATACAAGTGAGGAAGGCCTAAATATGAAGGGATAGAAGTGCAGAACCGTACCACTTTATTTCACCATTTCCAGAGAGTAGTTTTCAGTGGTTCACAGTCAAGCTAGAAGGGATCAATTCTGGGTCCAATTCTGTTCAATATCTTCATTGATCATTTAGATAATGGCATAGAGTGTATACATAGTTTGCAGACAATGCCCAGATGGGAGGGAGTACAGGTGTTTTGGAGGATAGGATTAAAATTCAAAACGATCTGGACAAACTGGTGAAATGCTCTAAAATAAACAGAATGAAATTCAATAAGGACAAATGCAAAGTACTCCACTTAGGAAGGAACAATGAGTTGCACACATACAAAATTGGAAATGACTGCCTAGCAAGGAGTACTGCAGAAAGGGATCTGGGGGTAACAAGCTAAATATAGGTCACAAACTGACTATGAGTCAGCAGTGTAGCGCTGTTGCAAAAAAAAAAAAAAAAAAAAAAGCAAGCATCATTCCCTGATGTATTAGCAAGAGTGTTGTAAGCAACACACAAGAAGTAATTCTTCCACTCTACTCCATGCTGATTAGGCCCCAACTGGAGTACTGTGGACAAACTGGAGAAAGTCCAGAAAAGAGTAACAAAAATTATTAAAGGTCTAGGAAACATGACCTATCAGGGAAGATTTAAAAAAACTGAGTTTGTTTAGTCTGGAGAAGACTGAGGGTGGGGACATGATAACAGTTTTCAAGTACATAAAAGGTTGTAACAAGGAGGAGGGAGAAAAATTGTTACCTTTAATCTCTGAGGTTAGGACAAGAAGCAATGGGCTTAAATTGCAGCAAGGACGGTTTAGGTTCGGCATTATGAGAAACTTCCTAACTCTCAGGGTAAACACTGGAATAAATTGACTAGGGAAGTTGTGGAATCTCAGTCACTGGAGATTTTTAAGAGCAAGTTAGACAAACAGCTGTGCAGGATGGTCTAGATAATACTTAGTCCTGTCATGAGTGAAGGGAACTGGATGAGATGACCTCTCGAGGTCCCTTCCAGGCCTATGATTCTATGATTATTCCAACATTGGGAGCTACTACCATGAAAATTGTTATGCTCTATATTTGTATACTTAATAGTGTGCACAGAATCACAGAAATGCTTAATGTGGCATCATTAATGGAGGAAAGAAAAATGTTATGATGTGAGCTTAAAAAGAAGGGGAAGAGATATAAAGACAGGTGGGGCAACAATGAAGAAAAAGTTAATCCCATTCATGTCAGAATCATGAAGAGGAGGCTTGGGATGGAGAAGACAGAATGGCTATGAGGTCAGGGGTGCTAGTTGCTGGAAATGCAAAGAAACTTGAAAACCTATTTTGAACTGGATTTGGAGATAGGTAGAAAGCTAAAGAATGTAATGAGGTGGGATGGTCTCCGCCTGCTTCCTAGAATGGCACAACAATGACTTGGCCAAAGCACTGTGGACCCTTGAAGTTAAAAATTTAGGCCAGAAGACTGTGAAAAAGGGAGCGTGTATATTTAGGATTTGCTGTTCAGATTTCCTATATACTAATTCTAATTAACTGTGGGGAGCCCCCCCCCCCCACAACCCAATTGTCACATAGGCATGTCCAGGCATGTGTTGGCAGGGCTGTGATATCTGTGTCCTACCATTTTCTCCACATTTATACATTTTATTAAAGCTAATGTTAAAAAAATTATATAATACATAGGTTAAGAAAAGAGTGTCTGTACAGCTGGGTATACTACTTAGATTATCCACAACTACAAAGTTTGTTTTTAAAGTCATAAGATACATATAGTGCATAATCAGCAATAACCCAAATTTAGGTGAATGAATTTAAGAATACAGTTTAGATATTTAGCATCCATGCATTCAGGTACATTACTCATGAAAAAAGTTATACAGCGAGTTGGTGGCAAAAAGCAAAATATATCAACAAGTGAAGATTGTCCCTCAGTAATTGAGAATTTAGGATTGGCAGGACACTTTCATTGTGGCTTTTTGCTGTTGTTTTAATGCTGCCAAAGTGACATAAAGGGAGCGGAAAAGAAACCCTTGCTCTGGAGTAGGAGCGCTCACATGGGAGTGGCGGGGGGTCACTACACCAGTATTTGTGCTGGAAATGGCCCAACTTGATGATCACTTTAGATAAGCTATTACCAGCAGGACAGTGGGGTGGGAGGAGGTATTGTTTCATATTCTCTGTGTGTATATAAAGTCTGCTGCAGTTTCCACGGTATGCATCGGATGAAGTGAGCTGTAGCTCACGAAAGCTCATGCTCAAATAAATTGGTTAGTCTCTAAGGTGCCACAAGTCCTCCTTTTCTTTTTGCGAATACAGACTAACACGGCTGTTACTCTGAAACCTGTCTATAATCTGTAACACTTCCCCCTGTAGACACAAAACTGCGTGTGTATGACTGGCGGAGCACAGGGCGGTCTAGGCTGACTAGACAGGAAGTGTGAAAAATCGGGACAGGGGATGGGGAGCAACAGGCGCCTCTATAAGAAAAAGCCCCATTTGGGACTGTCCCTATAAAATCCGGACCTCTGAGATCACCCTAGGGCGGTGACCGCACCCGCTTTGCACCCACTGCGCTCGCTTACAGGGGCGAAGTCTCCTTTGAAACCGTACCAAGGGCGACACGTTTACAGCCCGACCCGTGTCTCCCGTGCTGCGAATGCCTGGGGCTGCCCTGCGGCCCCTGCCGGGAAAGCGCCCGGAGCCGCCCCTGGCCGCGCGGCGGGCAGAGCCCCCAGCCCCGCCGGCCTCCCTCCCCCGTCCCGCTCCTCCCTGCCATAGAGATGGAGATGCGCAGCAAGAGCGCCGCCCACTTGCCGGCGCAGTTAGGACTCGATGGGCCTGGAGTCGCTCTGCTCCCTCCCTAATCTTGCGTCCCCCCGTGTCGGGCCAGAGCGTCGCCTGAGCCCGCGATGGCGTATCCGCGCCCCGGGACAAGCGTCCCCGTGGGGGTGTGGGGAGGAACACGGGCCCCTCGCGGCTGCCAGGCCGGCTCCGGCCCGCTCGGCGCTGGGGCAGCGGGGGGCGTGTCTAGAGCTGGGTGGTCGCGAGGCTGGGGGCGGCGGCGGCGGCGGCGTTACGGCAGCTACCACGCGACCCGCCGCAGGGGCCGGGACTGCAGGCAGGCGGGTGAGAGGGGGCGCGCGCTGCGAGGGATGGTTGAAGGGGCATGGGAGAGGGGGCTGCATGGGTCCAGGGCAGCTGCGGTTATGAATGATCCAAGTGACGCAAGCAGGGTCAATAGCAGGGGGCAGGAGTTGTAATTAGATGTCTGCCTGTTGGTCTGAGGGCTGCCGTCTGTCCAGGGCTACTGGCAGCGGGAGCATTATTATGAGGTGTTGAATTGCTTTTTTTAATTTGAAGCCCTCTGAGCTCGTTCACAACTGCTCTGGAATAACTAGCTTGTTGTTTCTCAAATGGTTCAGTCTGTGGTATACTTACAGAAAGCACCATACTTTTAATGTGTCTATTCTTAGAGGTTAGTTTTTAATGTCTGAAAAATGCTTAATTTTGGTTTTTTAAAATGTTGACTATTGTAAACTACAGTGACTGTGTAGCTACTGTAGCAGTTAGCTTGTGCCTCTAAAAATGACACATCGGCTACTCCAGTATGACTTTCGTACCTTCCATTCACCACGCACATTCTTAGCATACTTCATTACAACACTGACTGGCTGTAGATAACTATAGATCAAAGTGTGTATATAACTATAGATCAAAGTGTGTATACACCTGCTCTTAGGTTAGCCTGTTTTGTCTTAAATTGAGGGTAGCATCCTATCAGTGTGCATGTTGGAATACACCGACCTGCAATACAATCTGTATTTATCGCTTAATATAAAATCTTTTCATTCTTGGTATGGACTAATTGCTCTCCTCAATATTTATAGGTCTATTATGTTACATTTATTTTTGTAGCACTTTTTGGATATTCTTTGACTTATTAGTTCAGTGCACATAAGCACAATAAGGTTGTGAAAGATTGTGGGTATGCCTTCTAGATTTCTGTTGTGGCTGCATTTGCCTTCTGGTCCTGGAATACGGAGTCCCTTTTTCTCCTCTTGTAGGATGATGGCATCTATTTGTGAGCGCACTTTCATTGCCATCAAGCCTGATGGAGTCCAGCGGGGACTAGTGGGAGAAATCATCAAGAGATTTGAACAGAAGGGTTTCAAACTGGTGGCCATGAAATTCATGCAAGTGAGTTTCCTTCATTTCTATATTTCTCCTTTATGTTTGAAATGAAATCTTATAGCAGGCTAGTGTACTCCACTCGGTGAAAAATCTTTTGTAATTTTTTAAAATGAAATCTTAGCAGAAATATCAAATGTCAAATTTTGTGGCTGGATATTTTTGGAGACTTTCCAGCATCCAGCTGTAGCTAAATGCTTTTGACAGTTTGAGCAACCTAATTTTAGTAAACTGATGTCCTTAGTCCAAAGGGAATATTCTTATAGATGCCATTTACACTTAATAGGCATCTATGGATTATCTACAGCAAAAAGAGGTTTCTTCTCAAAAGTAGTTAGATATTGATGAAACAATCTCGCTGAGTTAAACTGTGTACTGAAATAATTTTAAATTCATATAAACCAAGCAACACATCTAGCCAGTTGCTGTAATCACTTATTTTTAAAGAGCATATCTGTTTAAGGATTAATAGTGCTCTGTGGTTAATCTCTTGTGGTTTAAAGATACTCTTAAGTTCTTACAGTAAACTGCTCTTTTTGTGTGTGTGCAGGCCTCTGAAGACCTTCTGAAAGAACACTACATTGATCTGAAAGATCGGCCATTCTACGCTGGTTTGGTTAAATATATGCACTCTGGACCTGTTGTAGCTATGGTAAGCTTTTAAAAATAAAGAAGAACTAAGAAGAACTAAGCAGTTGATGTATCTTTTGTTCATAACTTCATTTGTGTTACATATTGAAAATGACACTAAGAACTTGAAATTAAATACTTAAAAAATTGATTAAATGTAGTTACAGGTACAACATGTTTCCCTTTAATTTGTGGTTTTACAAGTAAATCTTTCTTTTTTAAAAAAAACCTCTCTTTTCCCCTTTGCAATGTGCTGGGGTGTAAGGGATGTAAACAACGGGAAACTGACTGCACAAAGTGCTGTCAAATACACAAAATAAGCAAACTGGAAAAAAGAACAGCAAAACATTTAATCTTTCAAGTAATGATATGTGTTAGATGTTGATTGTAACCTATGATTGCTACAAGTGTGACTTTTTTTTTTTTTTTTGGTAAAGAGAGCGTATACCTCTAAAGTATTTGAGATCCCTATGAAGCTTTATGTGTTTAGGAAATTCTGTAATGGATTGCTTACCTGTTTGTTACACTTAAAGCTATTCAGTACCCTCTCGCTTTGGCTACCAGTCAGTGAATGACCACAGCTTGTCGGAGACAGTTTCACTCTAATCCTTCTGTGCCTTGCCCATAGATTCTTTGAAAAAGGGGACTTAGCAACTGTACCATGATGGGATCAAGTTTGGATAACATTGCCAACTCTTACTGTGTTAGTTACAGTTTGGATTCCGTAATCTTAATGGATTTTATTTTTAAGGTGTGGGAAGGTCTTAATGTGATTAAGACTGGCAGAGTAATGCTGGGGGAAACTAACCCAGCAGATTCCAAACCTGGCACCATACGTGGTGACTTCTGTGTTCAAGTTGGCAGGTACGTTCTGAAACTGTCTTATCAAAACTAAAGCAGTTTTTAATCATACGCATACTGACCTACTTAGTTAATTGATTTATGATGAAGTTTGGTAATGTGAACACTATATCCAGTTGAAACTGTTGGAAGAATTCAAGCAGCAGAATGTAAATGTTGGAATTTGATCAACCTTATAGTAAGGACATATAGACAAGGCCTGAAATACTTTCTACAGAACCTCCATTTTTTCTTGGAGGTCTCCCATTTGAGTACTGACACAATCCTACTGATTTTATGAAAACTAATAAGCTCTCTGCATGATGACTTGCCTCCTGGTCCCTTTCTATAAGACTGTCCTGGTAAACAAGAATATGCCATTTTGTAACAACATGTATTTTTTAATGTTAAATTAGAATGAATGTTAGGAAATAACAGTTGGTACCAAAAACTTGCTAACTGCTGAAAAACCTGTAAGGACATTCAGGCCCTGATTCTACAAACTGATTATACATGGAAAGACCCCCATTAACTTCATCCAGATGCAGGGGTCCACTAGACAATGTAGGACTGGAGTCAAAGGATGTAAATGGAGACGTGGCTTTCCTTCTCCTTCCCCCATGATCAAAACTGATGAGAGAAGAAGCTTCTGTTGCATATTTACGTGTACATTTTATTAATACTTGTAGTCATAGTAACCAGAGAGGTTTTTCTAAAAAGCAAATTCTTGTGCTTTTAATTCTATAATTATTAATGACCTTTCTTTATCTTCTCTTAGGAACATCATTCATGGCAGTGATTCTGCAGGAAGTGCTGAGACAGAGATCAACCTGTGGTTCACTCCTGAGGAGTTAGTTGAATACACAAGCTGTGCTCATCAGTGGATTTAAGGGCTAGTCTGCTATGGCAGCGCTTTAATGTGGCCAGTGTAGTCGGGGCAAGGCGCTGGGAGAGAGCTCCCAGCACTCTAAAAAAAAAAAAAAACACTTCCACAAGAGGCGTAGCTACCAGCGCTGGTGCAGTCTACACTGGCGCTTTACAGCACTGAAACTTGCTGCGCTCAGGGGGGTGTTTTTTCACACCCCTGAGTGAGAAAGTTGCAGTGCTGCAAAGTGCCAGTGTAGACAAGCCCTAAGAGTAAAATCTGGTCTGTGACTTTTAACATCCACTCATTCCAATGATTATGAATCCAGAAACAGTTCCTATTGCCATTATTCTTTAGTTATTTCAAGGCACTTCTGTATAAACTGGTGGAAATCTCTCTCTCTCTAATCTGTGTTGTGAATATTACATGTAACCAGTGTTAACAACTGCTGCTCTAATTAAAAAGCTATTGAATTATTAATTGGGAAGCTTTCTAACTCTCTGTGTGTAGACAAGAGAAGAGGATTACAATAGGGGAAAGGATCTTTAATTAACGACTAAACACAAAGCATAAACTTTCATGAAATGCTCTGTAACCCCCAGAGGATAACTTGGTATATAGTAACTCTGTAAATAGATCCATAATATCCCTAAAATACAGGAATTAAAGAATGATATAGAAGTAAGGTTAGCAAAAAGTAATTTAAAAAACTGTGATAAACAGCTATGGGAAAAATTCAATTTTTTTTCTCTCCAGAAAGGCAGTGCAGTTATAACATAGGCAACAGCTTCCCTTTGAAAATAAGGGTTTTAACTAGATTGCTACTTTAAACTCATTGTTTTCCACCTTAGGATCAGTCATTTATGTAGCATTTTAAGGCAGGATTAGCACGGCAGCTTTTTAAAATGGCCTTTTATGAGAAAAGAAGATTAATGTGCAAGGGCTGCTCAGTAAGCTTTACCTCTTGTCACTTCAGTGTAGCATTCTGTTTGACATTAGTAAGCATATCAGCATTGCATTATATCTCTGTGCAAACAACTGACGACAGCTCAGATATATTCTTTCCTTAATTGTTTGAATGGCAAAGTAAACTGTGCTTGGATAAGCTTTGTCAAAAGTGACTTTGGAACTCAGGAGCCTAAGTTTCAGTAGTAGTCAACGTGCTTTTTAAAACTTTACCCATTGTATTTAAACTTATTCATATGACAGTTTTTCTGTAATATTAAACAGGTCCCAGTAGTGCAGTTTAGTTCTAGCCACAAACCTTTCAGCGTCCTGCAGAGTTGCTATGGCTGTATTCAATGTCCAACTGTTGTATTCAGCTCAGGAGCCAGAAGTGGTATTTGGCTGAATAGTGGATACAGCAATAAATGAGTAGCATATTTATTCAATTGTAATAGGATGTTAGTTAAAAAGCAAAACACAACACAACAATAATTATCTGAACACCCTAACATTGCAAATCATCATTAGAAACAAAATTTCCTCTTGTGTTTTGCTACTAACTTGTTGATATCACTCATTCCTAAAACAAAACCTGCACATAAACATTTGCCTTTGATTAAGCAATAGAAATTTAGTAGAATTTCATGTCCAATACCCAAGCATGATGAAAGCATTAAACCCATTTTTTAAAATGACGCTGGCAATTTAAATCTATTCAGAAAATCAGTATTTTTAGAAAAAAAACTTAATTTTTCTTTAAAAAGTGGACCAATGTATTTCAGCACAGTCTCTGTTCAGAATGCTCCTTTGACTGTAATAGATGCTTCTACATCACGCTATTTAGATCTGCCTTTTAAAATATTTGATAGCAGTAAAGTGAGTGTTGGAAAAAACTCAGAGGAATGAGTAGTAGTCTTGCTATAGCCTTATCTCCAAAACTGTACTCTTCCAGAGTCTGTGGCTGTGGGGTGCCAGAGGGAAGGGTAGTGGGAGAGTCTGTCTCCTAGTTTTGAGGAGGAAGAGATAAATGGTTATTTTCACTGGGAGGAACCAGAAGAAAGTAGAACCTTGCTCCAATTTGCTAGTGCATTATCATAAATGACCAATAGGAAGAAGTGGCTGAATTAAATATGCTGCACATACTGCAACGGAGAAGCAGTTCTTTGTAATTTGGCTACATCTGTATATTTGGAAAATCATTGCGAAAATCAACTGAATGTATTAATGGTGAATGTATTAGATGGACCATTTCGTGATCTGTTAGCTACATCTTTCAGTTCACATTACTGTTTCTTTCGCTCACGATAGCATGTACAATGTTAAAAAAATGTGAAAAGCATCACATCTTGTTTCTTTCCTTTGTTACCTACTAATCTCTTCATGATCATGGGCATAGTCATCTTCACTAAGCACAGTGGATATGAGACTGTGTAAAATGAGTAAAAGACTCATTTTCTAAAAATGGCTTAACAAACACTTTGTCCTTTCTGTTTAAATAGATAAACTTAGGCCAGGGATTTTTATGCAATTTTTATTCAAGTATCCCAAGCCTCGCAAGTCTAAGACAGCTGACCCAAGCCAGCCATGCCGTCACTTGCTGTGGGTCTTTTATTGCTGTGTAGATGTACCCTAAGAGTACCTTCTCCCAGCCCTGAAGAAGAGCTCTGTGTGTCTCAAAAGCTTGTCTCTTTCACCAACAGAAGTTGGTCTCAATAAAAGATATTACCACACGTACCTTACACTCTTCCTGACAGCTAACACTTCTCACCACTTTTACCTTAATACTATCTAAGTTAATATCCATTTCCAAATCTGTCTGTGACTATGGTTGAGGTTCTTCGTACCATTAATTGTGGTTCATGTTTAGAAGTAATCCAATTATGTGATCTAGAGGAAACTCATTTCAAACCCTGTTGTACGTCCACCAGATTAGGAGACAAAATCATTGTGGTAATCACTGAAGTGTATGTGAAATACTTATTAAAGAGGTAATCCTGAAGGAACTGAGTGTTGCTAGTAGTGATTAATGGCTACCTTGTCATTTACGCATCATATTAAACTGAGACTAGCTCGTGCACCTGCAAACCAACAAACTTTTTTGATGTTTCTGGTGCATTATTACACTAAAAAATTAACTAGAAACAAATAGTTAAATTGCATTTTCAGATCAAGATTTGTATTTTATCATTAGGGTGTAGGTCAAACATAATTTTGTTCAAAAAGGACAAATTCCATTCAGAAATTTCCATGGAAGATGGGAAATTCAGTGTCCTATTTAACAAAATGTATAATTGTAAATAATCCATAATTTATTTACCAGGATGAGCAATATCAGAAAGACAAAGTTAAGTGTGTCTTGAACCACCTCCCTGAACCCACGATGCTCCCAAAACAATTGTTTTTTGGTAGGGGGAAGAGATCATATCCAAACTTTCAGATTAGTCCTTATCTTAATAATGAGTTAAACCAAAATCCCACATCCAAATATTTTTGAAAAGTTCAGTTCCAGGTTTGGATCCAAACTTTGCAGCTCAGGTCCATCTCTAAAACATGACATGCTCAAACAGGACCCAGTCCATCGCCTCCCCTACCCCAGTGAGAGAGTATTTCTATTAACTTGAATAGGAGTTGACTCAGGCGCATAAAGAACAGCCCCAAACACAGCACTCTGCCTGCATATCTGCTTTGCTCAAGATTTAACTCCTTGTACTCTTATATTTGATATAGTTTTTCCTTATCAACTTAAGCAGCAAGATCAACAGAAGTCTGCATGAACATTTAGTGAAATCAGATTGGATATTTCTTTAAATTCAGCAAAGACTTTCCTATTATCTTCCTTACGGCCATAACAAGTGATTGTGTACTCAAAATAAATGTAAAAGAAAAATAGTGTTACACTGATGCCACAATGTGAATAAAAAAGGAAAATGAAGAGACAGAAAAACCAAGATAAGCCAATTTGCTATTCAAATTTGTAAAGGAGCACAACAGGGAAAACAAATCAGCAGACACTGCAAAACAAATGGGTGAATAATGAGTAATAAAATGTTTTGCACTTTGTATGCATCATATGACTTCAAAGTGCTTTACAAACAACAAATAAATAAATAATCAAACAACACTCTACTTAACAGCACTTTTCATTCAAAGATCTCAAAGCAATTTTCAAAATGTGGGAACGTATCCTTATCTCCATTTTATCAATGAGGAAAATGAGGCAGAGAGAAGTGACTTGCACAAAGTCACACAGTAAATCAGAGGCAAATGATGAAGGAAACCATGGAGTCTTGATCCTCACTAGACCACACTCCTAAACTATGTAATCTATGCCAATGTAGCTCAATGTACTATATTAAGACACAGAAATATGCATATTATAAAATACGGTAATCTGTGGAGGGATACAAATGCTCAGATTATACAGGTAAACTGAGACAGGAAGGGTTCCCAGAATTTAGTTGAGAATTCAAGGAGAGATCGGATACATCCAGAGAAGAGAAGGTTGTCAAAGGGTTTTGAATTGCCTTCCAGTGTCTATAGACAGAAATGAACGAGAAAGGGAGATCAGTGAAGACCAGGTTCTTCTGGAGCAATGCAATACTTGCCACATCTGAGGTGACTGAATCAGCAGTTCCAAATTCATAATTTAGTAACTGGATTAATCACATATTTAAATTAGATAGAAATCTGGATTAATCTTGAAAGCAACTAAATATAAACTGATTAAATACTGTAAGTTTATGCAGTATTACAACTGTAATTGGTTAGAGTAAATCTAGGGGTAGAAACTGTGTTTTCTATGTGTTGTAATTATTAAAAATATTTGAAATTATTAATATTAATGAGGGAAACCACAAAACACTAATTTAACTATAAATTCCTTTATTAAATGCAAAGGCCAAATTATACAATTGCTCTAAACATGCCTAAAAAGGCCTAAACAATAAGCAATTTACTACAGCCACAGAGAAACAAAACATTTATAAACATTTGATCAAGATACTTACAAACTGGCTAAACCCAGAGATGCTTAGACCTATATTGGTCAGCTCCAAAGTGGTCAGGCAGATATTAAAAATGAACTTTTAAGAATTTACCTATTTTCTTCCCAAGGCCTTTCCTTCCTGTCTTCTTGCTAGTCACCAGTTTTCCCATTGCCTCTGGCTTTAACACCCAGAGTGTGGGTTGGGGAAGGGCCATGGTGGCTCAATTTAAGCAGTTACTCGCTGAATGTCAGGGGCCTTCTTTTTAGAAACTTCCGCTTCTCTCATTAGTTATTCTTTGAACCAGACATCTTACCTACTTTATTCCTTCTAACCTTATCACTTATTTTCAAGGCTTTCCTTCTACTGGCTAGTTAGGGCCTTTCTTGACTTTACAACACATACATTGCTCCTTAACCAAACTTAACTTACTTTAATTCTTTAATTTTATACTTATTCTACACTATCTGTACAGAGCCCAGCAAGAATAACAGTAATTAATAAACTGCAACCGACTGCTAGGTCTATTGGTCTAATCACAGCTGTACGAGGTAGGACCTGCTGATTTCTAGTCCTAGTTCTTACACTTTTCACTATTCTTACTTTTAAACTGCAACCACAGCTTCATTCTCCTACATGACAACAAAAGAATCTGGACCAGTCCTACCCCTGGCCTCCGGGCACTTGACATTACCTCTTTGTGGATGATGTAATTTCGAGCACATCTTCTGGCTCTGTCAATCTGTTTCTTCACTTCAGCAGGTGGGGACTGTAGTTGTAAGAATGCTTGATAGAGATCTTATAGGTGTTTATCTCTGTCTGAGGGGTTGGAGCAAATGTGGTTGTATCGTAGAGCTTGGCTGTAGACAATGGATTGTGTGGCGTGATCTGGATGGAAGCTGAAGGCATGTAGGTAAGCATAGCGGTCAGTAGGTTTCCAGTATAGAGTGGTGTTGATGTGACCATCGCTTATTAGCACCGTAGTGTCCAGGAAGTGGATCTCTTGTGTGGACTGGTCCAGGCTGAGGTTGATGGTGGAATGGAAATTGTTGAAATCATGGTAGAATTCCTCAAAGGCTTCTTTTCCATGGGTCCAGATGATGAAGATGTCATCAATGTAGTGCAAGTAGAGTAGGGGCATTAGGGGACGAGAGCTGAGGAAGCGTTGTTCTAAGTCAGCCATAAAAATGTTGGCATACTGTGGGGCCATGCGGGTACCCATAGCAGTGCCACTGATTTGAAGGTATACATTGTCCCCAAATGTGAAATAGTTATGGGTGAGGACAAAGTCACAAAGTTCAGCCACCAGGTTTGCCGTGACATTATCGGGGATATTGTTCCTGATGGCTTGTAGTCCATCTTCATGTGGAATGTTGGTGTAGAGAGCTTCTACATCCACAGTGGCTAGGATGGCATTTTCAGGAAGATCACCAATGGACTGTAGTTTCCTCAGGAAGTCAGTGGTGTCTCAAAGATAGCTGGGAGTGCTGGTAGCGTAGGGCCTGAGGAGGGAGTCTACATAGCCAGACAATCCTGCTGTCAGGATGCCAATGCCTGAGATGATGGGGCATCCAGGTTTACAGATCTTGGGTAGCAGACAGAATACCCCTGCTCGGAGTTCTAGGGGTGTGTCTGTGCGGATTTGTTCTTGTGCTTTTTCAGGGAGTTTCTTTTGGTAACCCTCAGTGGGATCAGAGGGTAATCGTTTGTAGAATGTGGTGTTGGAGAGCTGCCTAGCAGCCTCTTGTTCATATTCCGACCTATTCATGATGACGACAGCACCTCCTTTGTCAGCCTTTTTTATTATGATGTCAGAATTGTTTCTGAGGCTGTGGATGGCATTGTGTTCTGCACGGCTGAGGTTATGGGGCAAGTGATGCTGCTTTTCCACAACTTCAGCCCGTGCACGTCGGCGGAAGCAATCTATGTAGAAGTCCAGTCTGTTTTTTTGACCTTCAGGAGGAGTCCACCCAGAATCCTTCTTTTTGTAGTGTTGGTAGGAAGATCTCTGTGGGTTAGTATGCTGTTCAGAGGTGTGTTGGAAATATTCCTTAAGTCAGAGACGTCGAAAGTAGGATTCTAGGTCACCACAGAACTGTATCATATTCATGGGGGTGGCGGGGCAGAAGAACATAGAAGATAAGACAGATTCTTCTGCTGGGCTAAGAGTATAGCTGAATAGATTAACAATATTGTTGGGTGGGTTAAGGGAACCACTGTTGTGGCCCCTTGTGGCATGCAGTAGTTTAGTATCCTTTTTCTTTTGTAGAGAAGCAGTGTGTGTTGTAAATGGCTTGTCTAGTTTTTGTAAAGTCTACAATCTCTATGTCTAGAGTTTCTAGCCAGGCTTTTAGGGTAATGGGGCTATCCCATGACTGCCTTGTTTCTAGTTCCCCTTTACCCTGTTCCTAGCACCCTTCGCCCTGAGTCTGGCCTCTATCCATCACCCCCTTTGTTTGCTACTTGTCCCCTCCGGCCAAAGCCTCGGCCCCACACCCTTGAGCAGCTGCCAGCTCCCCCAACGCCCCTAGTTTAGCCATGGCCTTACCCCCTTCGGCTTGGGTCTCTCTCATCCCCAGTAGCCAGGCCTTTTGGGAGCAGCAGGGCTTGTGCTCCGCCGCCAGGCGGGGGGCGGCCCTCACAGCGGCTTGGGGAGGGGCGGCGAGGGGACAGGTTTCTGTGAAGCCCCAGACCAGCAGGCCTCGCTCGGCATGAGGGCGGGCTCTGAAGGCGCCATGTTCCGCAGGGAGGAAGGCCAGCCCCTCTCCGCCGAGGGTGGGTTCCGGCTCCGGCTCCGGCTCCGGCTCGTCGCCCCTCCTCTTTCCCGGTGGCCGCTGAGGTGAAGGCGGGTGACCAGCTCAGCAGCGGCATTAGCAGCTCCAGGGAGGTGAGGCCGGCGTGGGGGCTGAGCTGGGCAGGTCTGCGGGGGAAGGAGGCTGAGCCCAGGCCTGGAGGAGGGTGCGGGGGGGCGACGCCCCTTGAGCCGGGGCCTGGGCTGCCCGCCAGACCGCGGGAGCGGG